AAAAACTGCCTTTTAACAGGCAGAAACCTCGGACAGACCCTTCAGCTCTAGGTGGGTGGTCATCTGCCTTGACCAGTTGGGATACATTGTACATTGACTGTACAGTGTGCACAGAGGTTGCAATACAGAATAGAAAATAACCTGTTACTGGTGTTGTATTCCAACAAATAAATAGGCTAAACATGGCTGTGAGAGCTGTCAGGAGTCTGCAGCCAGAATTCCTGATCGCCTGAGGTCCATGCAACCAACTGTCTGATAAGAGACAAATCCACAAACACGTAGACCAAGACTTTCCAAGGCAGTTATTCTGTTTGTAACATGCATGGTTTGTGTTTTTTGAATTACAAACTCTCCTCAGAGTACTCTGCTGCTGACTAGGGGCAATAAACTGGCTGCAGTAAAACATTTGGCATATAAACCCCTCAGTTAGAGGGTACCTTTGCTTTATAAAGAACATATACAGATGTTTATTTTAGACACTCTACAGTTGCAGACACCAATTCAGTTGGTTTGTTTTCTTTTTCTGCAACCAGAAATGTATATTCTGTATGATTCAGTAAGTGCTGCAACAGCTACAACCATCATTCATTCCCTTCCGTGACAATACAAACATACCAAGGTAAAATGGCTGCAGGGATAAAGTGAGGAGGAATGTGAAGAATGCGGAGCTCCAAAGGAAATCATGCATTATTCAAGTGAAGGAGGAGGAAAAGAAGGACAACTTATCAACCTTTTGATGACAAGGAGGAGGTTAGAGATCATGTTAAACTGTCATTCTGGGATTTTATCAGGAAATTCATTGGGCTGCTTTCGTGTTGTCAGTCTTGTCACAAACCTGAAAACAATGGCATTGCACTCACCCCTACCCCCTCACCCATCCTAGACACACACACACACACTTTGCTTTCTTCAACGAGACTATTCTACAGTCAACAGTCACACCAGACAACAAAAATGATGGATGAGTGAAGCTGTTTGTACCGGTTGGAGAAACAGTTGACCACTTAGAGCTTTGTAGGCAGGATTAAGAACAAGGATCGATGAGAGCAGCCCATCCAGGTACTTTGGCCTTGTGTCAAATTCCTATGGCCAGCAACTATATAATAATATATAGAAAAAATAAGTACATAGGGGTTAATAAGTGTCCTTTCAGTCTGACTCCATCACACTGTTCTCATCTATGTCATCTTTGTACATAGCTCGCTGGCTATACAGCTACATCCATTTAAATCAGCCACAGAATTGCAACTGTAGATGAGATAGTCACAGGTTGTTTTAAGAAACTGTGATGAAGTATAAACTGAAGTGGAAATTTTGACCTGCTGGAAGAGGCATTAGATCACCAAAGTCAGTAGCATCTATCCTCCGGAGACCAGCAGTGTAATTTAAAAAACAAAAGGAATTCAGAAAATAAAATAAAATCTGATTATTAAAAAAAAACAAAAAAAGGAAATCCTTTCCATACTTGTTGTGAGTAAGACTGTAAGTTTCTACAGTTGTGCAGCTTGCAAATATGTGAAGTTGTGCCTGAAACTGACCAAACCGACAGACTGACTGACAGATTTTGCCACCTTTTGAGCCACACAGCTAGAATGCTAAAAATGATGTTGCAGTCAGTGCCAAACACAAAGGCAGGGAGATAAACATTCACATGCTGTCATGGAGCGATTGGTTCAGACACTGGATGCAAAATAAACGGATAAAAGGTGTGCTTCCTCTCTGGTAACAGGTAGTGATGACTCGGAGGCTACAGTGAACGCTCACTCTGGGCTGATGCAGAGCATAAAGGGAGGGGGCCGTTGTTGTGAAAAGACTGAGCCCAAGGATGACTCACGCCTGGCATAATGGCTGGCTTAAGTCCCTGACAAGGAAAGCTGACAAGGGTGGCCCTGGGCCGTGGTTGGACGATGGGGGAGGGGGTACCAACTGCCTGTCTGACGCCAACTACAGCCGTGCCCTCCCTGTCATAACTCGTGCTCTAATCAGCTGGAACCAAGCTTCAGCGACACCAGAAGATGCACGTTCAGCCCTGGAGGGGAGGAGATGGAGGATGCTTATCTGGAATCACGTGCATTCATTCAGACAATGAAGTCTATTCAAGTCCAGCTATAACCCAACATCCAGTCCTGGATAATAAAGGGATGAAGTATGTGTTGCTTGGAAAGTGATTAAAAAAAAAAGTCCTGAAGCTGTTTTCCACAAACATATACATAAGCTGGGTCAAATTCTGGGTAATTTCTCACACACCTGTAGTCACCTTTGCAATGGTAACACTCATGCTCAGGTTAAAGAAATGACTGAAGTTACTGTTGTCCATGCATTTAGAGTGTGGTCATTAGAAATGTCTGAGAAGGGAGTGCAATCTGGACTGAAAAGGATCCAATCTGCCAAAATGAAATGTGAAGCAACAAATATTGCAAGAAATAGCTACAATAATCTTACTTAAAATATTGACTTACAAAACACTACAAAAAAATGGCTTGTTATAAATGTGAAAAACTGTAGCTGATACTGGTTACTGGTTGGAATTAATTCAGTTACTGGGAGCAGAGCTAATCAGCTTTATGCCAACAAACAGTCAAGAGGCAATAAACAGAAAATGCTGCAGGCAAGTATGCCGTTTCTATCTACAAACAGACAAAATATACAATACAATACAAACACAAACACAGCCAGTGCTAGTCAGACCAACACTTTAGCCAAAATACAGAATGAAAACAATGAATACATGGTACTAATGTGTGAGAGGGGGTGCATAGAACAATTTCATGGGGAAAATAATTAATTTATCCTGTAGACAAATTTCACATTTCACTAAAACAAGCAACCAGGTGGTTTTAAAACAATTTATATATAAGGTGTGAATTGTCACTGATCTCCCGATT